GGTAGGTAGGTAGGTAGGTAGGTAGGTAGGTAGGTAGGTAGATAGATAGATAGATAGATAGATAGATAGATAGATAGATAGATAGATAGATAGATAGATAGATAGATAGATAGATAGATAGATAGGCGGGCGGGCGGGCGGGCGGGCGGGCAGGCACTCAACACAGAGAGAAACAGACAAACAATTTTGAAAACAAACTGTCTTCAGTCCAGCTGGACTAAATCAAAACCCAACAGAAACGCAGCAGTAAGTCAGGAGCATAAAGATTCAGAGGGGACTAACCCCAGTTACAGAAGGAATGGTCGATTTGTTAAGACAACAAGAATGTTATTTCAGATCTCCGCAATCAAAGATGACGATCTTCTTGCTTGGTTTGGCATTCTTTGAGCCAAAACTCTCTATTTTCCTCACAATGTCCATTCCCTCTCTGACTTGGCCAAAGACCACGTGTTTCCCACCCAACCATTCAGTTTTCTTAGTGCAGATGAAGAAATGAGACTCATTTGTATTGGGACCAGCATTCGCCATAGATAGAATGCCAGGGCCTGTGTGCTTGAGAATGAAGTTCTCATCGGCAAACAGCTCGCCGTAAATAGATTTACCGCCTGTTCCATTATGGTGGGTAAAGTCACCACCCTGACACATGAATCCAGGAATGATTTTGTGAAACCACGATCCCTTGTAACCGAAACCTTTCTCTCCAGTGCTCAACACACGGACATTTTCTGCTGTCTTTGGAACTGTGTCTGCAAACAGCTCAAAGGTGATGCGCCCGAAGGGCTGTCTGTCGGCAGCGACATCAAAAAACACGAGGGTTAAACATAGCTGGGAGAGGAAATGCACCGTGTGAGCAAAATGTAAAAGTTTAAAATAAAATAAAAAAGAGAGCGGCACCAGCCACACACAAGGACCAGCAACCACAGCTCCACACCAGAGAGCGCGGCGCAGTGGGCCAGAGTGAGGGTATTTTCCTTTTGGTGGCTTATTTTAAGCAGAATTTCTAGCAGAATTTTAAAATTCTTTTCTTTGGATTAGAGACAGTTAACAGTCACATTTACCTCATACACAAAGACTGACATACGCACACAAAGACAAGAGAACAGAAAAGAAAACAGAAGTTCTTAGTTTTACACATCCTAGTCGTTCCCACCATAAATCTGTTAACTCATATTAGGGAAGGCACAAATCTTAAACATACCACATGGCTGCAGAGAGCAAGAGAGAGCGAGAGAGAATCACTATTTCTTATTTTCCCTTTACCTACCTTTATTTAGCCAAATTGGTTTCCCAGCAAAGCCCTGAGCAAAGTCCATTTTTAAAAATAGTTTCTCTACCTATCTTTTTCATACCTGCCTGAACTGGTAGCTGATTCCTGTCCCAGACCTCAAGGAAGCTTTTACTGGGGGGCCTATCTCGACCCTTGAACTAGAATACCCCATGATTCCCTTATTCCTGATGCAGGGGTTCACTTTGGTTCTATCGGGTCTGGCGCACTGAAGCTCCTAGTGAGACTTCCGCCTGCCACCACGGTTTTGGGTCAAAAAGGGACCCACGGAGGACGCTGGATCCCTCACAGAGTACTGGATGCTCCTTTAGGGATCTACCACCACGGTTTCAGACCAAAAAGGGGTCTGTCGAGGACTCTTCTGCTCCCCTGCAGAAGGTACGGGACGCTTTCTTACTGGCTTTACCTTCACTTTTCACCACCACTGTTTGCGGACTTCAAATGTCCGGGAGGATCTCTGCTTGCTTTCCAGAGGTAAGGGATATTCCTAGCCCAGGGCTTAACTTCCTAACTTGGGGCTTTGCTTACAGGGCCTTACCAGCTGGTTGCCCAAATCCAATTCTCTCATTCACTCATTCCATTCCTTGGAAGTTGTCTAGTCGGACCCCCTGCTCAACAGCCTCTATTGCACCACCATGATCGCGGATGGCCCAGTGGGTAGAATGCAGCATTGCAGGCAAACTCTGCCCACTGCCAGGAGTTTGATGCTGACCGGCTCAAGGTTGACTCAGCTCTTTTGTCCTTCTGTGGTCGCTAAAATGTGGGGGGCCAATAAGGCGACTCTGTAAACCGCTTAGAGGGGGCTCTGAAGTACTGTGAAGCGATATATAAGTGCTATTGCTAAGGGAGGTGGAACATATGAGCCTAGGGGTGTGTGAGGATCCGATTAAAGCCAGAGGGAAACGTTTAGGGGGACCTGGTGTGGAAGGAGAAAGACCAGCGGGAACTTGTTGGGGAAAGGAAATCCTTGCAGTGACCACGTGGCGGGAAGGGTAGAATAGGTAGGGGGTACTGCAGTGTCCTTGGGGTCAGTCACAAGTGCAAATGACCACTGGGGTGCTCCAGGGACTGTAATTTCAGGATTGGATCTTAAGCAACTTTTTGGGGGGAGATCCACCATAATGTAAAACAGCTGTTAAGACAGGGGTCCCCAACCCCCGGTCCCTGAACCGCCACTGGTCCACAGCATGCCAGCAACTGGGCCTCGCAAATAAGCAAAGCACACGAAACCAATGCACACCCCGGTCCACAGAAAAACCCCTCTCCACGGAACCTGGTGCCCCAAAGTTTGGGGTCCCTTGTGCTAAGAGACCCGTCCCACATCAAGGAGATGAGATGAGAAGAATTACCTGGTCTGCTGGCTGCCATAACTTCCAGTATCAGGTCTTCCCATTCTCTAGTCGCATGACGAAGAGGAGCATCCATCAGGGAAACTGGAATTGGATAGAAGCCGTGTGTGTGTGTTTGTGTGTGTGTGTGTCTCATCCAGACTGATCCTTAGCTTGTGTTTGACTCTAGGTTTCAGGCAGCACCTAGTCTGCCTCAAGATCAGGATTTAGGGAGGAGGAGGAGGAGGAGGAGGAGGAGGAGGAGGAGGAGGAGGAATGGGGGTCCACAGTGGTCCCCTGAGCTGGGTGGTTTTTTTGCAGACGTTTCATGACCCAATGTAGGTAACATCATCAGTGGTAGTGAGGAGTGCTGTTTGTGGCAGCCCCCCAAATAGTGGAATCCTGCTATCTAGTCGTCTCCACCCCCATTCCTTCTTTTCTCTAGAATGGCCAAGCCCAATTCCTGCACCCGTTCTTCCGATGTTTTAGCCTCCAGCCCCCTAATCTTCTTTGTTCCTCTTCAGCCCCCCAAACGCCAGACGTGGCCTCCTCACTTACCCGGCTTGGCCTCGTCATCCGTAGCTGCCTGGAAGAGTGGAAAGGAAACACGGGTCAGACGGGGGTCTCGACTCCCAGAGGCCTCGGCGTGTCCAGTGGGGCAGGAGGCCAGTTGCCACCACGCTCGTGCCCAGAAACAGCAACCTGGTCCCCCAACCCATTCAAGGCATCGGCCAGAAGCTGCTCTGGAGCCCCCACAACCAGTGGTGGGATTCAGCCGGTTTGGGAGAACCGGTAGCTGATTTTTTGTTGCCGAGGCCCAGAATGGACTTCCGGAAGCGGCATCCACACCGGAGAACCGTTTGTTCACATATTGGAATCCCACCACTGCCCCCAGCTAACCGGGGGGGAGGGGTTCAGATGTTCTGAAGGGATGGAGGAAGGGAGGAAAGGAGGGGGAGGGAGGGAGGGAGAGAAGGAAGGGATGGCGGGGGATACAGGTGGAGGAGAAAAGGAGGAAGTAGAGCTGGGGGACCCCTTTCTTGGGAGGGCATTGCATGCTCTCCACCCATTAACCACCCTTCTCCCTCCCCGATTGCCTGTCCTAACCTGAGTGTCTCTGCTTTCCCACCCACCCGTTGGCGTCTCCCAGAGGAGGGACCCCTTGTTCTTGTGTAAACGGAGTAGCTCCACCAGATGCCCAGAAAGAGCATCACCCTCACCCAGTTCCACTCTGCCATTTGATTCTGCTCTATGACACGCTGATCCTGTACCATGGACAACTCGTACAGCCAGCTGACGTAGTGTCTCCCCCCGTTTTCGAAAACGACTCTCTGCACCATCTCCATCAGCTCCGAGACCTGCGCCTGCCACTCGGCTCCCGCGGCCTTGTTGTTGAAGCCACAGTAGCGGTTCCCGCACTGCTGGATCAGCTCCCGCAGATTGCAGTTGTCCGGCTTTTGGATATACTCCTGCAGGGATTCCTCTCTCAAATCCTCCTTGCAGGTGAAGAGGACGATCGTGTGCCTGGCCGACTCGGCCTCAAAGATATCCTGGACTCGTTTTGCAGCTGTCACATCTTCGGCGGTGAAGCGCCCCACCTGGGTCACAAAGATCAGGGCGTGGGGGCCAGGCCGGGAGAGTTCGACGCAAGCCCCGATCTCATTTTGCACCATCTCACTGTGGTTTTCGGAATCGAAAATGTCGGGTGTGTCGACCACGGAGATCTTCCTGTCCTGCCATCTTCCTTGACCCCTTTGGCACCTCACGGTGGTGGCTTTTCCCCCCAGGGACTCGAACTCTCTCCGGCCGAGGATGGTGTTGCCTGTGGTGCTCTTCCCTACTCTGGACTTTCCCACCAGGATGAGTCGGAGTTCGGCGTCCTCCCCTGTGATTTGGAAGACAGTGTCACACAAAGGAATCGAGATATTTCACACGTGCCTGGGAAGAAATGTGTGGCCGTGATCCAACATGTCAGGGCGTCATTGAGCAGGCTGGAAACGGAGACAATTTTGGAAAAGAGTCACCCCTGCCCTGAAGCGGTTCAGGGATGTTTTTTTGTGAATCTCCCAGAGCTGCTAAAATGGGCTGCTCAGCCGTGCAGATTCTGACCCCATCCCACCCCATCCCACCCCATTCCATTCTGTGATGGGCCATAGTGGTGCAGAATGGAATGGGGTGAGGTGGGATGGGATGGGAATTTACTTTCATCAATAATAATTAAAAAAAGGCTCTCTGGAAGACTTTCCATGATTTCTAGCCAGCTGGGAGGAGGGTCCAACCATTCCTCCTTTCCCCCCCCCCTCTTGCCCAACCTTGAAATGCTGTTTCCACCTCTGGACCTCTTGTTCTAGAAACCCTCCAGGAGCACGTGTGAACGTTGCATCGTTCTGACCCCAAAGCGGCAGAAGAATCTTTATAAGACATTGAAATAAGGAATCTTACCCCGACCATAACTTTGTCCATATTCTGTCTGAGCCTGGTGGGGAAGGAAAACAGGGTGGTGAAAAGGAGGATGGGGACTCTCGAGTTGGCAGGGATTCTGGTGTGTGTGTGTGTGTCTCTGGTAACCCAGATTTCAAGTGGGGGAGAAGAGGTGGAGGTTCCCCAAACTGCAGGATGTCAGGTTATTTCCTCCTCTTCCTTTTCCCCCTTCCTCCTCTTCCCACTCTCCCTCCTCTTCCCCCTCCCCGCCTCCTCCCCTCCCCTTTCCATCCCCCTCCTCTCCTCCCCCTCCTCTAACCCCCTTCCCTCCCCCTCCTCCCCTCCTTTTCCCTCTCCTCTTCTCCCTCCCAATCCTCCGCTTGCTCTCCTCTCCTCAACCTCGTCTTCCCCCTCTTCCCCTCCTCTTCTCCCTCCCCTCCCCCTACTCCGGAGGGGGAGGGAAGCAGGTAGAGGAAACAAAGGGGAAGTAGAGCTGGGGGACCCCCTTTCTTGGGGTGGCATTGCATACTCTCCATCCATTAACCTCCCTCCTCCCCTGGATTGCCTGTCCTAACAAGAAGGTCTCTGCTTTCCCACCCACCCATTGGGGTCTCCCAGAGAGAAAGGACCCCTTGCTCTCATGTAAACGGGCAGAAAGAGCACTGCCCTCGCCCAGTTCCACTCTGCCATTTGATTCTACTCGATGACACGCCGTTCCCCTACCTTGGGCACCTTGATGACGTAGTGTCTTCCTCTGTTCTCCGAAACGACTCTCTCCACCATCTCCATCAGCACCGAGACCTGCCTCTCCTGCTCGGCTCCCGCGGCCTTGTTGTTGAAGCCACAGAAGCGGTTCCCGCACAGCTGGATCAGCTCCCGCAGATTGCGGTTGTTGGAATTTCGGACGTACTCCTGCAGGGATTCCCTTATCAAATCCTCCTTGCAGGTGAAGAGGACGATCGTGTGCCTGGCCGACTCGGCCCCAAAGATATCCCGGACACGCTGTGCAGCTGTCACATCTTCGGCGGCGAAGCGTCCCACTTGGGTCACAAAGATCAGGACGTGGGGGCCAGGCTGGGAGAGTTCGACGCAAGCCCCGATCTCATTTTGCACAATCCCACTGTGGTTTTCAGAATCGAAAATGTTGGGTGTGTCGACCACGGAGGTCATCCTGTTCTGCCATCTTCCTTGACCCCTTTCGCACTTCAGGGTGGTGGTTTTTGCTGACAAGATGGACTCGAACACCGGCCGGCCGAGGATGGTGTTGCCTGTAGCGCTCTTCCCGCCTCCAGACTTTCCCACCAGGATCAGCCGGAGTTCAGCGTCCTCCCCTGTGAGTTTGGAAGACGACGTTACAAAAAGGAATCGAGATATTTCTCACATGTCGGGGTGTCATTGAGCAGGCTGGAAATGGGGACAACTTTGCAAAAAGTCACCCCTGCCCGGAAGTGGTTCAGTGATATTTTCATATGAATCTCCCGGAGTTGCTAAAATGGGCTACTCAGCCATGCAGATTCCCACAACATGCGAATCCCACTTTAGCAGATGTCCGAATATAGCCACGGTGTCCAGCCCCCACGAGCAAAGATGGAGCCAAGCAAATGGAGACTGAGGTGTGAGGAGGCTCAGAGCTGCTGGTATGTGCTGAGTGACGATGGCCCCGGGCCAGGGTAGGGGCATAACGTCGGAAGGGACCTTGGAAGTCTTCTAGTAGGACCCCCTGCTCAACAGCCTTTATTGCACCACCATGATCACGGGTGGCCCAGTGGGTAGAATGCAGCATTGCAGGCAAACTCTGCCCACTGCCAGGAGTTTGATGCTGACTGGCTCAAGGTTGACTCAGCTCTTTTGTCCTTCTGTGGTCGCTAAAATGTGGGGGGCCAATAAGGCGACTCTGTAAACCGCTTAGAGGGGGCTCTGAAGTACTGTGAAGCGATATATAAGTGCTATTGCTATGAGAGGTGGAATGTAGGAGCCTAGGGGTGTGTGAGGATCCGATTAAAGCCAGAGGGAAACGTTTAGGGGGACCTGGTGTGGAAGGAGAAAGACCAGCGGGAACTTGTTGGGGAAAGGAAATCCTTGCAGTGACCACGTGACGGGAAGGGTAGAATAGGTAGGGGGTACTGCAGTGTCCTTGGGGTCAGTCACAAGTGCAAATGACCACTGGGGTGCTCCAGGGACTGTAATTTCAGGATTGGATCTTAAGCAACTTTTTTTGGGGGGGATCCACCATAATGTAAAACAGCTGTTAAGACAGGGGTCCCCAACCCCCAGTCCCTGAACCGCCACTGGTCCACAGCATGCCAGCAACTGGGCCACGCAAATAAGCAAAGCACACGAAACCAACGCACCTCCCGGTCCACAGAAAAACCCCTCTCCACGGAACCTGGTCCCTGGTGCCCCAAAGTTTGGGGGCCACTGTGCTAAGAGACCCATCCCACGTCAAGATGAGAAGAATTACCTGGTCTGCTGGCTGCCGTAACTTCCAGTATCAGGTCTTCCCATTCTCTAGTCGCACGACAAAGAGCATCCATCAGGGAATCTGGAACTGGATAGAAGCCGGGTGTGTGTGTTTGTGTGTGTGTCTCAGCCAGACTGATCCTTAGCTTGTTTTGACTCTAGGTTTCAGGCAGCACCTAGTCTGCCTCAAGATCAGGCTATAGGGAGGAGGAGGAGGAGGAGGAGGAGGAGGAGGAGGAGGACTGTGGAATCCCTGGTGATCTCTGAGCTTGATGGATTTCTTGCAGACATTTCATGACCCAATTAGGGAACGTCATCAGGGCTAGTGAGGACTGCTGTTTGTGGCATCTCCCCATATATTGGAATGCTGCTATCATGTCCCTCCCCCCCGAGTCCTTCTTTTCTCTAGACTGGCCAAACCCCAATTCCTGACCCCGTTCTTCCGATGTTTTAGCCTCCAGCCCCCTAATCTTCTTTGTTGCTCTTCAGCCTCCCCAAATGCCAGACATGGCCTCCTCACTTACCCGGCATGGTCTCCTCATCTGTGGTTGGGGACCACTTTGGAAAAGAGCCACCCCTGCCCTCCAGTGCTTCAGTGATGTTTTCATAGGAATCTCCCAGAGTTGCTGCAATGGGCTGCTCAGCCGTGCAGATTCTCACCCCACCCCATTCCATTCTGTGATGAGCCATAGTGGTGCAGAATAGAATGGGGTGAGGTGGGATGGGATGGGAATTTACTTTCATCAATAATTTAAAAAAAGGCTCTCTGGAAGACTTTCCATGATTTCTAGCCAGCTGGGAGGAGGGTCCAACCATTCCTCCTTTTTCCCCCCCTCTTGCCCAACCTTTAAATGCTGTTTCCACCTCTGGACCTCTTGTTCTAGAAACCCTCCAGGAGCACGTGTGAACGTTGCATCGAAGCTTCTGACCCCAAAGCGGCAGAAGAATCTTTATAAGACATTGAAAGAAGGAATCTTACCCCGACGATAACTTTGTCCATATTCTGTCTGAGCCTGGTGGGGAAGGAAAACAGGGTGGTGAAAAGGTGGCTGGGGAGTCTCGAGTTGGCAGGGATTCTGGGGGGGGGGGTGTCTCTGGTAACGCAGATTTCAAGTGGGGGAGAAGAGGCGGAGGTTCCCCAAACTGCAGGATGTCAGGTTATTTCCTCCTCCCCCTTCCTCCTCCTCCTCCTCCCCTCACTCTCCTCCCCTCGTCTTCCTCGTCCCACTCTCCCTCCTCTTCCCCCTCCCCCCTCCTCCTCCTCTTCCCCCTCCCCTTCCTCTCNCCTCCCATTGGAGGTAGCGAAGTGGTGGTTCATAGTATATTCAGAAATTGCCTAGAGTAGATTCTCCTGATTGAGCAGGGGGCTGGACTAGAAGATCTCCAAGGTCCCTTCCAGCTCTATTCTATTCTAATTCTTCCTTCTCCTTCCCTCCTCTTCCTCCCCTTCTCCTCCTCTTCCCCATCCTTCTTCTTCTGCTCCTCCTCACCTTTTCCGGCCTCCGAGTAGGACAGATGCAAGTGACTACATCACTCCATTGACTGAGCCCTACTTGAGTCACAGCAGCGCATCGGAATTCGTACTGGAGATTTAGGTGGATGTCTTCCACGGCGAATTGAACCTGAGGGCCTTCAGTATGGAGACTTTTCCAATTTTCCTCTCCTGCGATCCGATATTCCACCTGGTACCTGGAGACTGAAGGCTTCCCAATGGCTACTGGATCAATGGTGATCTGGAAACTATTTGGTTGGACTGGTTCAACCTTAAGAGAGGGAGGTCTTCTAAGAGCAGCTTCCCGCTCCTGACGTTCCTTGAGGGCCTTCATGGTCAAAGCTAAACTTTTCCTTTCCAGCATTTTTAACGAGTCAAAGAAATCCTTCATGCTCTCAGCGCTCATTTTCCAGAATATTTCAGCAGCAGCATTACAGCTTCCTCCGTTTTCTCGGTGAGCAAAGAGGGCTGAATGGTTGAATCTGAAGTGCAGAGGAGTTCCCGACTCATCCCGAGCACATGGTAGGTCAGCCTCCTTCAGGGTCTCCAGGACAGGTGGGGTCCCCCCATCTGCAAAGGTGACCAGGAGTTGGATGTTATCCTTCACGTCTTTTCCCAACATGGAGAGCATGGAATCAAAGACGCATTTCTGGGCATGAGTTGAATGGGTAAGGAAGGCCTGGGCCACCAAGCAGATGGCATCAATGTGGTCAATGCCCCCTGGGGTGGAGAAAAACTCTCGGAGATGCTTCTCAACCAGTTTGTCTTGCTCTGCGTCTCTTGTGCCTCCAAATCCTGGAGTGTCGATTATTGTGAGAGAATAGGGAATCCGGAAACCCTTCCGATGATTCACCACGTAGGCTGTGACTTCAGACGTCCTGCTTCTAGCTTCGCTTCTCTGGATGGTTTCATGAATGAATTTGAATCGGAAATTATCTTCCCACTGAACACCCAGGATATAATTGATCATCATGTTGATCAGAGTGGTTTTCCCAGACTGTGTTGCTCCCATCACCAGGATCACTTTGTTGGGCACTTTCAGGTTCTCCTTTCCAAGCTGGTACAGGAGTGAGGAGGTGGAGGCATCTGAGGGGACTTTCGCCAGAGGAAGGGCGAACACTAATGGCTGTCTGTCCTCCACCATGGAGCTTTCCTCAAGGAACTGGTGGGCTACATTGTCTGCATCTTCTTCCTCCAGTGATGTGGAGATCTCCACCTCCTCACTGGGGACACCCAGAGCTCCATTATCACACATGGCTGACACCCGTATTCTATACGCCGTCTGGGGCTTTAGACCTTCAATGGCGTAAAACTCTGTTTTTCTCCCAGTCCTTTTTTCAGTCCAGTGGTCCTTCCCATCTCCAGCCTCCACCGTTCTGTACTCCAGCTTGTACTCCTTGACCACAACTCCTGAGGCAACGATGCTGGGACTCATCCAGGCCACAGAGATGACAGAAGATGCCACAGTGACCTTTCTTAATTTCTCAGGAGGGCTGGTGGTAAGGGTCTTTATGGATGGGCTCAGATCACTGGTTTTACTATGGCCTGGCTTGCAACAAGCAGCATATCGGAACAGGTATTCTGTGTTTGGAGGCAGATCTTTCAGCAGGAACGTCTCCCCGGCGTCCTCTGTCCCCACGGTCTTCCAGTTTT